AATATAATTTATTTATTTCATATATACAACATGGATGTCAAATCGAAGATCATCAAAAGATGATTAATTTGATATATTATATATGTAAAACCGATAAGAAATACAAAAGTTATCAACTTTTAAAATACATTTATAATTCAATATCTTATTGAAGGAAACAAATCAAAATTCAGGGATATATTAGTCACTTAGTGTCTCACTATGTAGAATTACAAAGAATTAAGGGGTTATATTAGTAAAAGTGATATTAAAATACCTAAGTTAGCTAAATAATATTTATGAAATACCCGAACCTAAATTATTAATTATTAATATATCAATATTATTTATCCAAACTTAATTACGAAGTATGATTCTTCACCAAATAGGATTCCCAAATACCAGAAACAGCCACGTACGCTCAACGCATTTAGAAATTATATATAGGGAGGATAGGTTGACCTTTGACTAGATTTAATCAAGCTGACATTTTAAAATTGTCAAAATCAAATCTTAAAAGTTAAATTACATACATCTCTAGTCTATGGGCTTTTATAATATGGTAAATTTTATTTTCGTTACTAGTAAGAAGACAGTAATAATAATATTTATGCACCGATCACCCATTTTATTTGGACAAATTTTGGTCAAACACATTAGCAGTTATACGCTATTGAAATATAAAAACTGCATAAGCACTTATTAACGAGTTTGCTGTCGTGACACCGTTTTATTATGTTTTAACCACATGTGACCTAAATATCATTATTAACAAAAATGTTAAATATTAGAGAGCTGAAATTTCTCCAGTACGATGACGAGCTCAAATAACTCATGTGAACCTTGTACGGGTGAAACATGTATTCCGTGAAGTGAATTTTGCAGCCGATTTTCTGGCTTCCTTCGCATCGGGAGGCTCGGTGGGATATCAGTTCTTTAACGTTCCTCCAGATGGAGTTTGACAATGTTTACAACATGATCTTATTGGCGTAGCCTACCAAAGGAACATGTACAGTTTAAATCTCTAGGCGTTTAGCATCTTTCTTTGTACCAAAAAAAAAAACCTTAAAATTAGTGTATTAAATGGGCATTGAGAAAATAAACATAAAAAATAATTTGGGTATTGATTTTAAAATCATCACATTATTGATTTTATTTAAAATGACATAGTTTTATAACCTAGCGTTAGAGTGTTTGGCATTGAAGCACGAAATGATTTTATGTCTTGTTTTAAACTTCAATGGAGTAAATTTTGGTGTTGAAAAGATTTAATAGCAGCAATAGATTCAATAATATATATATTGAATCATTATAAGCATTCTCAAAGCTCTAATGTTGTTATAGAAATTTTTTTGACAAATGTCAAAAAATAAAATAGATTGTGAACCACGTAGGACATATGTTGAGTATTAAATTAAAAAAATCATCTCCAATGCACAATATTGCTTAATTACAATATTATCTACTTGCCAAATAATTAAATTTTAATATGAATTAATAAAATTAATTAAAAAAATTTAAAGTGGTAATAATAATTCCCTCTCTTCTCCTGATTGGCTAACTAGAGTGTGGATGAACCACATTCTTGATCTCTACATTGTAGACATTAATTATGTCTATATCATCACAATATTTGTAATCACATTGTACATTGGAGGATGAAAAATTGTGATGTTAATAAATGTGTTGATGTGGAATATAATTTACCACTACAACATTGAGTATTGAAGATGTTCTAAACGTAGTATGTAAAAAATTGTCATCAATCTATATAAATGTATACCTTATTCTCTACCCCTATAGATGACCAGGTGCCGGGCCGCGCCGGCCCGGCACGGCCCCCGGGTCGGCGGGCCTCAACATTATGGCCCGTAACTGGCCCGGAAAAATATATGGGCCGGTTCATAGAATCGGCCCAGAACCGTCGGTTTACCAGCCCGGCGGGTCTCGGACGGTTCCGGGCCAGTACGCCCCTTAAAATCCAAAAAAAAAGCAACGTGACCCGGCTCAACCCGGCTCGGCCCACCAGGTCAAAAACAAAGAGTGTATGAACCGGGACCGAACCGTAGCCCTACGGTTCTCGGTTCAACGAACCGGCCCTTAAGAGGCCGGTTCGCGGGTCGGGCCACGGACCAGTTCGGCCCGTGGCCATGTCTGTCTACACCTGCGGATTTGATGTGATTAGATTAGTTTTTTTACTCACTTTAACTTATATTTTAATTCAAATTCATTATCTTAATTATCAATATAATTAAATAATATCAATTATGTCATCAATTTAATTTACTAATCACACACTCACATATGCCTATCACTTCAATAATCCATGTCATACATTTACATCTCATCACTTTTAATCAATACAGTTTGAAATATTATTTAACTTTAAATTTTTCTCATCTCACTCAATAAAATTTTATTTAAAATAACTCATTTTAACTAATAATTAAATTTTAATCGATTTTAACTGGTTTATGACGCTTACTAATCACCCTCTAAACATTTCATGAACACCACACATTTGTCACAGTCCAATGAAATTATTGTGTAGGTATCACAATTTTAACATTTTATATATACAATCATTATGTGAATCGATTTTATTTTTGTCTAACCTTTATTTAATAAAAACCAAGCATGACAAATTGACAACTCATCTTTCATACCAATTGTAACACCCCGCTATCCGACTAGTATAAGAGTAAATTTTCCGCAAATTCTTTTCTAAAATATTTATAAATTTACGAAATCAAAACTCGGGTTGCTACTGTGAAAACTTATATGTACTTAAAATTTGTTTTCTTTAAACTGGGTTTAACAACTAGGGTAGACATAAAGAAAACAGAATATCAAACAAGAATGCAATACTGGACCCATATCACACTCGGGGACTGGGTAAAAGCAAAACTGATAAACTGAAAATACATGCATGCAAGTTCGAAAGCTAAAACGTCAGCGAAAGTAAATACGTGGCAAAATATATATTCAAACTGGTATATATCAAAACCCACAAAACGGCAACTAGTCGAATTTACATATATCCTTGATAGAAATTTGATATCTTGAAAATTGACATAGTTAAGACATGACAACTCATGTATATATTCCATATGGTAGACATAAACCAAAGGGCCGGAGAAAAACAAGCATGAATCTATAGATGCCATTGTAACTGGATTTCACAAGATTTGTTTGACTTCATAATATTGTTAATTTAGCAAGTCAATTTGTAAGCCCTAATTTATATGGATAACACAATTTCTATTTTGTCCACATAAAGGATATGAACAAATGATAAAGATAAAAGAATATATGGTGTCTAGGATTATGATGTTCCATGTTCGTATCATGATCTTTCCTAACTATATCGTGTAATTGCAACACAATATTCATTGTCCCATATTCCATGTCAATTAGAAATTGGCAAACAAAAATATTTATATTGATGGAGATTTAGGTTAGAATCATGTAAATATGCTTATTAAGGGCTTGATTATATATAAGTTGTTTTGAATTTGATTTGATTTATTGTATCCAATTAGTTAGTTTAACGAAAGGTGGTTGAATTTGGTTTGAGTGAGATTTTGAGTTTGTATTTAAATAACATTTAAAATATAATAATTAAAGTTGATATAATGTAAAAGTATAAGATAAACAAGGTGATTGAAAGTGAGTAGTTAATAAAATCATGTGAGTTGGTGAATAGTGCATTGATGTTGATATCATGATGCACGAGTGTCACTGATTGATATTATTTAGTGATATTGATAATCTCTTGAAAAATTAAGTTGAATTAAATTTGAGTTGAAATTTGAATTAGAAAAAAAATTATCTGATTGGTGATAACTATATATTTTTCTATATCAATGAAAGCAAGTTGTACCATAAATGGAATAAAGCCATTAGGCAATACATTATGCTGTTTTTAATTAAATTATAGAAGTTATTGTAAGTGTTTTTTATCCATAGAGGCACAA